AATTTTGCCTATCAATTAAGAGATTTTAAATTTAAACCGTGAGTATCTCATTTGCGTGAGAGCTTTCCCAAATGAAAAAAATAAAATACATGATCTCAAGTACGGAGAAAAATTACAAATGGAGTCGAATAATGCAAGGAAGGTCGGATGGGCCCCACAGGACATTTGATTGTGCCGACCATATCGCGGTCCAAAGAAGAAATATTTTAGCTGTAGAACATGGAAGGCACTTGAGAATCCAAGTCCTGGTTCATGTAAAATATCAAATAGATGAGAGCTTGCCACGTGTCATTATAATTTAAGAAGGATCCAATGGATTGGGAAAAAAAAGGATCAAACATGCTTGCGAGGTGGTCGATTATTTTGATCCAATGGCTGGTCAAAAGCATAAAATAATAAGTTTACATGGCATATATCAAACGAATTTTTATATTATATTATTGGAATTAAATTCAAGCTATCGCTTATAATAATATTAATGTTATTAATATTTTCTTATAACTATCTTATTTCTGATGTGGGGAATCAAATGTTGGATCGTTGGAAGAAGATGATGCTTTAAAGATTTTTCAAGAACAAGAAAGTAAATCAAACACTAAGCTTCAATTGGTATAATATTCATCATCTCCCCCTACTACAATGCTTGCACATATATATAATAGCTATAGAATCTTCTAGAAAGCTTGTAATAATCTAGATAAGTTATTCCTTAGGTAGGTTATAACTATGATGTTCCACATCAATTTGTGAGTTCTTGATGATAAATTGTAGTTGGCATATATTAATGGAAGAAGTTACAATGATAATATTTTAAGTGGAGTCGTGGAGAGGCAAGAGGATGTGCAACCTTTAAGATTACGTGCTTTAGGGGTTATGGTGATGTTGGAGTTGGTTTGTGATGTGATGAGTGAACATCATTAGATGGATCTAATTTTATTGCTAGATGAGTAGATTCTGTGGTGGGCCTAGAAAGGTGAGGAGTTCAAACAACAATATTAAGGATGCTTTGTACAAGTTCATCCAGGCGGAGTATGGCATGATTTGGGCGGTAAGATCTTTCAAAATTTATAAGAGAAAACATATTGAGCTACAGGTCATATTTAAAGTCATAAATAAAAATTAGCCCAAAAAACTTTAAAGGTATGAATATGTTATAGAGGTTTGAGTTTGCAAGTAAACATGCTAATTGCATGTGTGTTAGGCTTGTCTTAAGTAGTAATTCAAATTGTGATTATGCGACTATCATGGGTAATCTACTTGTGACTACTTTGATTGGCTCTTCTTAATATAATTTTATGTTGCAATTTGTATAAGGATCAATGAATAACATACTTCTTAATATAATATTTTATGCTGTAATTAGGGGTGTAAACGAGCTTAGTCGATCTTGAGTCAAGGGGTGTTCGAGCTCGACTCGCGAGTAAAATATCGAGCTTGAACTCGAGTCGAGCTCGCGACACTAAAACGAGCTCATCGAGCTGCTTGATTCCACCATTTGCCCTTTTCTTCGCCCAATTTCTCGGCCAGCGGTCTCCTCGAGGCCCTTGTCTGCACGTCGCATGCGGTTCGTTTGCATAGTGTGGACCGCACTCCACCTCCTCGAGCTCTTCGTCCGCCTCGAGTACCTGGTCCACTTTTTTTTTTTAAATTACAAGTGGAATTCAAGCCGGCTCGCGGCCGAGCCTTGTCAAACTCGAGCTCTTTTAATAAACGATCATATTGATAAGCAATCAAGGCTCGGCTCGCGAGAATATAAACGAGTCAAGCTCAAGCCGGCTCAGCTCACTTACACCCCTTTTTGTAATTTGTATGCGGATTAATGCATGACATGATTTGTCACAACTTAACTCAATATGATCCACATACAGATATGTCATATTGTGTTCAAGTCGGACATCCTAAGCCCAAGATTTATGTTTGGGAAACTTTTGAGATTTCTTCCAATTTAAAATTTAAAACATACAATAGAGCTTCTAATTAGCTTTTGTAAATAAAATAAAATAGATAATTCATAAATTTTCTTTCATTTCCTCAAAATGCATGTGCTATATTTAAACTACAATACATGGTTACACACTAGAAAAGACCTAATAAAATAAACCTAGTCATTACGGTACAAAATCAAGAAAATACTTATATAGATACAAACAAATCAAATCATAAACGCTCACATACTCAACTGGCTCTTTTACTTCTTCTAACCTAAAATAGAAGCCGGAATAAGTGTGAGCCAATATATCTTAGTAGGTCACACCTACTAATCTAAATTTTCAAACAATTTACTTATTTTGCATTTAACTGAATGTAAAAGTAGTTTAATAAAAATATATCATACTAGTGTAATTTTAATTGCAGATACCTAAAATAAATAAAATGTGCACTAATAGTAAATAAACAAGTGCTTCAAATATAAGAATAGAAAAATAACAGATTTCCCTTTGGCCCTTATATCTCCCATCAAAAATAGGCCCTTATGACTTATTTGCTAGCATATCAGAAAATAGACCCTTATAACTCCCAATGCCTACGACATATCAGATATTAAAAAATTCAAGCTCTTATAACTCCTTGTGTATTTATCACTAGAATATAATTTCCCCCATATATTATATATATATATATATATACTTGCTCATTATATAATACTCATTCTCATAGTTTTCTTTAATTTTTTTAAACAGCTTTTTAATATAATTTTTAAAATAATTTTATAATTATGGTGTACTTGAATATTCGCGATGGTAGAGAAATATATAATTTAATGTCTTTGCATTGTTCAAAGATCCAGCACACAAGCAGATAAGTGAGAGGGTGTAGTGTTCATAAAAGACACCAGAGTTTTTACGTTTAAACTCCTGAAAAGGGGGACAAATCATGGGGCATGACTTAGTTTAATTGAATCCCTTAGTATTTACAGTCGATTACAAATGAGGCCCTTCCTTAGGAGAAGGCTTTGGCTTGTACATCATTTAGAGCGCATTACATGATGGGAGTTACAATAATCAAAATAGACATGTTTGTTTGGTTGATAGAACCATAGTTAATAGGATAGCGGTCGAAAAGACTGCTGTCTGGTAATGGAGGTCGGAAGGATCATAGTAGGCGACGGAGGTCGGAAGGACCATAGTCGGCAGGAGATAGGGGTCCAAAAGACTGTACTTGGTAGGAGACCGGGGACATAAAGACTATTGTCTAGTGATATAAATTAAAAGGATTGTAGTAGGCGACAGAGGTCAGAAGAACCATAGTCAATATGAGATAGGGGTCTGAAAGACTGTAATTGGCAGGTGTCCGAGGTCAGAAAGACCATTGTCCGGTGATGGAGGTTGAAAGGACCATAGTAGTGATAGAAGTCGGATGGATCGTAGTCGGCAGGAGAAAGGGGTGCGAAAGGCCATAGTTGGTAGGAGACCGGGGTCAGAAAGACTATTATCTGGTGAAGTAGGTCGGAGGGACTGTAGTAGGCGACAGAGGTTAGAAGGATCATAGTTGACAGGAGATAACGGTTCGAAAGGCCGTAGTTGGCAAGAGACCGAGGTCATAAAGACCATTATTCTAGGATGGTACTCTGGTAGAACTATGGGCGTCAAAGGGTGGCTCAGTAGAGGTTCGAGCCTTAGTTGGTGGTCCTGTAGAAGTTTGGACATAAGGTGGTGGTTCGGCAGAGGTCTGGGCCTAAGATGGTGGTCCAGCAGAAGTTCGGGCTTCAGGTGGTCATCCAACATAAGTTCAGGCCTCAGGTGGTGGTCCGATAGAAGTTCGGGCGTTAGGTGGTGGTCATGCAGAAGTCCGGGCCTGAGGTGACGGTCCAATAAAAGTTCAGGCCCAAGGTGGTGGTTCGATAGAAGTTCGGGCCACAGGTGGTGGTCTGGTAGAAGTTCGGGCATTAGGTGTTGTTCCGGTAGAAGTCTGGGCCTGAGGTGGTGGTCCGGAAGAAGTCCAAGCCTGAGGTGGTGGTTCGGTAGAAGTTCGAGCCTCAGGTGGTGGCCCGACAGAAGTTTGGGCATCAGGTGGTGGTCCGACAGAAGTCCGGGCCTCCAATGGTTGCCCGGCGGAACTCAGGCGGTGGTCGAGGAGGAGCGAGGAGGCAAGAGCAATATCTGATATCTCTCTTGCTCTCTTGCTTGGAGCCTCCTATTCAAGAGAGAGGAGGGGTCTATTTATAGATTTTATAGAGTAACATGGACCGTAAATAGGTGGTAGATCATGGGCATATTGGGAGTGGCTTGGATGGACGACCGATATTGAATCCCTTGATTGTGGACCGTTTGATGCACATTTGTATGCCTTAGTGATGTTAGAATTCAATTATCTTGAGCTCATTGGATTCATCTCGTCGAGTCACTCGATTCGACTATAAGCACACCATGTTTGGAAATTGGTTGGTAATCCAAATTATGGTTCAAACCCTAGCACTTCAGATCCTTGATTTGGATCTATTTGGACTCAGATTGAGTCTATTTTGGTGCAGTTGGGTTCGTATTTATGAGACACTCAGTTCGATCGTAAGTTTGTTGAAATCTTAATTCAGATGGTTCCAATTTTAATTTCGAAAGTTTCCAATTTAATTTTTCCTCGAGATTCGTGTCCGATCAAGATAATTTTTTAAGGATGTATCAATAATAATAATAATAATAATAATAAATTATCTCCAATAAAACGGTAAAACCTAATTGATTCTCTTGAAACATTAAAAAAAATTCTCATGAAATAAGGCTGAAAAATCGAAATTCATAATTGTGTGATTTGACTTGCGAAACTAAAGTTTACATTAAAATTTCTATGCGGTTGTTGTAGGCAGAGCCCACCTCAACTGCCCCCAAGTCGCTGTGGTCAGCAAACCTACAAATTTTTTTTTTCAGAATTTTAAAGCAAAATAATAATTAGAGATTTTTTTGGCAAAAATTTATGAACAAAAGCATAATTTAATAGATTTTGTGACTTTCTGAGTAATAAATAAATAAGTAAGTAAATAAAATATCACACGAAATTTGAAAAAAAAAAGTCTTTAACGATCTGTGAGACTGCAAGAGAAGGGGATCGGCCACCTTTAACGATCTGTGAGACTACAAGAGAAGGGGATCGGCCAGGCCCAGGTGGGAGAGCCAGCGTTGGACTTGTGAAGGATTCTGCTTCAACAATCGACTTCAGCCTGTTTTTCTTGATCCTCCGTAGGACCGTAGCTTGGTTTCGATCACCAGTCGATTTGCCGAGGTTAGGAGCTACTCGATTTTGCTTTCGTTTCAAACCGGAAGAAGCTAATAAGAAGGTGGAGTAAGTTTTTCTATCAATCTACTGCATCACTTCATATCCTGCTAAATTGAGCTCCGCTCTTCATAGGTTATTGAGCTCGAAAGAAGCTCCACACTTTATCATGGGGGTTTCCATCCTCTTCACTTTGTTGGCTGTTGGGGATAGAGTCATGAGTGAACCCCTAAGTTAGATTCATGTATTTTTGGCGCTGATTTGGGAGGACACGCATAGATTCTGCTTCAATTAAGTGTGAAGCGTGGATTTGAGATGTGTTGCGTAAGTTGTTTTGGGGTGACAGCTTGAATCCTGTTTACATAACGAACTAAGATTCATCGAAGTTAGGGACATTGATTGGTTATAAAAGGGTTTGGAAATAGTGATTTTTGAGAGGTGCGTAATTTTCCGGCGAACTAGGTTGATGGAGCTATGTTAAAAATAGATTTTTATGAGGTTCGGAGCTTTTGGTTGTACAGTTGAACCAAGTTTGCAGCTTGGCTTGGGCTTTCAGTTATATATCGTTTTAGCTGATTGATTTTCATATGCTTTTAAAGCTTTGAAGGATGCCACTTTTGTTTAATTTGTGGCTTTTTCTTGTGATAATAAATGGGTAATTCGTGTACCTGGACCCTGCCTCTTCATGTGAAGGGACTGTTTGGCTACAGGTGGATTTAGGCTTGGTTAAGGACAGCTTTTTTATTACTTTGCAAAGCTCTTGTAAAGAAAGCAACTTTTAAAGCTGTTGCAAAAACAGTTCCCTAGCACAAAATTTTTTTGAAAGCTATGAAAAAATAATGGCCAAACAAAAATTGTGCTTGAGGTTTGAAAAATAAAGTTGTAAGAAAGTTGTTATGAACTAAGTCTTATTAGACCTTATAAATCTTGATGGAATTAAAAACTGAAAACTATTTGGTACTACAACTCTTAAGTCTTACTTAATCTTTGAGAAATTGTTTGGCTGCTTGTTGGAGGATTTAAGATTTATGAGAGTTAGAATTGCTTATCCATTAAATACTGTGACAAGTGAGATTTAAAAAATAGTAGATTTATTCTATAATGAGCCTCAAATGAGATTTATCAAATATGATTATAAGTCGTCAAAAATATTTTTGATGGTATTTAAGCTAAATCATGCTTAATCCTTGCCTAAATTAGGATAGTAAACACAGCCCTGAAGAGTCTTTGGGTTTTGTCCTTCATTACTTTATTTTTTTCCTGCCTTTCTCGTTCACATTTCCTCGTCAATTCTATTGGCAATTATGTTTTCTGGGATTTGTTGAATTAGGGGTATAGAAGTTCAAAGGAAGTGGCTTATGTTTGAACACAATTCTGCTTGAAAGCAAGTCATGCGAGATAATCCTATGATGTGAGAGATTCCCTAATTCATTAGGGAACTAATTAGCTTAGAATATTTCCACCTTAAACTTAGGATCAAGGGAATAAAGTTCGGGAATAAAGAACTAAAGAAACTTGTATTTAGCAAGCTTGATTGGAAGGAATGAAACCCTGAAATGTATTGCACTTGTTTTCGTTGAGAAACTTGCATCTGATTGTAAGCTACTTGCACAAGGATTTCCCTTGCAACCAGTACTTGCGAGATTTTTTTATTCCATTTCTTTCTGCAGAGCTTCCTAATGAAATGTAAATAGTCAGATACAGGAGAGGGTTGTCCAGATTGTAGGTAGATACATACCAAACATGCATGATTGGACTGCACATTTATACTGAATATGTTAAGGATGCCAAAACATGCATAAAGATGTGGTTTCTGTTGCCGATATGGAAGACATGCTTGATGGTGCTGATATGGACAATGTTAGTATGTATTTATTCTGAATGATAGAATGCATCCATATTCGTATTTGATGTAAAATTTTGAATTTTCTCAATATTGTCATGCTTGTTTTTGTGTTGTTTGAAGAAGCGTTGAACTGTTTTAATTGACACACAACAGGACAAATTATTTTAAATGGCGGCAGTTGTACAGTAGATAATCTATCATACTCATGATACCATAAGAAGGCAACAATTGTTAAATTGAAGAGGAGATACCTTCACTTATTCATTGAAAACTATTCAGTTATTTTTTATGTTAACAGCTGGATTCTCTTGAACTGTTCAGCTTTACCATAAAAAGTGAATTTAATTTCTCGTTCAGCTCAAATGCGTTTCTTAGAATTTGGTTGTAGTACAAGTTATTGGCCTTTATTTTAGTAGAAGGTATGATATTATTAACTCTAAAAGGGCATTTTTAAATTGAAAGGTACAAGATTTATAGGAGTCATCTTTATAAACATGCTTTTTGAGTTATTTGGTTGCATTAGTCTTTATTTTATTTTTTCAAAGATTCAAAACTTGTACCTCTACTTTAGAGATCAAGGACATTACCACACAAGATTTGTTGTTGCACTAGTCTTGGAGACACCCTTCAAAACAATTTCAAAGCATTAAAATTTAGTTTAAGTAACTCATATGATTTCATTTTATTGTTTCCACAGTTCACTAAATTGTTATCTTTTTATGCAGTCATCAGGTGCCGGTACATCATACTACAAAAGAAAAATCAAGGATTATGGCAGGTTATCAAGATGCCGGAAACTTGCCTGTTGAGGAACCAACTTCTTCTCCAATAGCATCTCTTCCCAATGAGTCTAGGCTTCCTAATCCTCTGCTGACCGATGGAAAAACTGATATCAAACATCATCAGGAAGTAGACACCAAGCATTCAGAAGAAGGGGTGACTGGTCTATCCTTGAATGCACAGTCACCTACCTCACAGAACTCAATTGAACCAGGGTCTGCTCTGGAGAATGCAGTGATTTCTTCATTCGAATTTCATTGCTCTTCATCTCCTGATCTATCACAAATTCAAAAAGTCAAGCAGGATAATACTCTATCTCAACATGAAGATCAAAGCCACATTCAAGATGGTGAGTATATCGCCTCAACTAAAGTAAATTCTGCTTCACTGTTATCTGATTTTTTTGTGGTATTAAATCCCCAGGTGTGGTAAAAATCCCAGAAGAGGGGGTAGCTGCAACGCATAAACATCACGAAATATGTTGTGCTGATGTTCAGACGAAAGAAGCTCAAATCAATGATGATGCTACTGCAAGTGTTGGTAACAAAATTGCTTCTTTGCCATCTGAAAAATATCAGCCTGTTAGAGGTGTCGCCTCAAAGGGAATGGAAGAAACTATATCAAGTCAAATTGAAGGTGAAAGTCCAGCTGGAGTTGCTAATGCTCAAACCAATAAAAGTTCTAATGTTGAAGAGAATGGTAAGATAGAAGATATTGCACCTTTTAAACCCACTGGTCATCATCTGCACAATCATGTGGAAGCCCAAAATATGAAAATAAAAGCATTAGATTCAGCTGTTTCTTCTGAAGAAGTAAAGAAAGTGAGTGAAAATAGAGGGTTTGTTGACACTACAACACCTTTTGAATCGGTTAAGGAGGCAGTGACAAAATTTGGTGGTATTGTTGATTGGAAAGCTCACAAAGCTCTGACTATCGAGGTAATATGAATCTCTTATGAAGGTTTTCAAACTTATGGTATCGACCTGCATATTGTATGTCCTATTACTGCATCATGATTCTTCATAGGCGCATTTGAGAAATTTACGATCTTTTGAGGCTTATCATTGCGCTTTTTCTTATATACAACCTTTTATTGATTAATCTTAATACTTGATTCTTTCATGTTTCTACAAATTTATTATTATTGCTGCTTTTGAAGGTAGGGTGAGCCACAATCGCTTTAGGTTGCTGACGTCAATTCTTAAGAGCCTAAGGCCTAATTGAGACCCTCAAACGTTATTTTAAAACTAAAAAATAGCTAATTAGCCGTTTTGGACACTTGTGTTGAAATACGAATGTTTTTCTTTGTTTTATTTGCACTCGCTTGTATTTGTGATCGTATTAATTGTTGTGTGAAATCTGATTGTGTTGATCAATCAAGTTGTTATGTTATCTCGGACCTCTAGTTTCTCGTGCTCGTTGGGGGGTGTGGGGGGTTTACCCCCTTTTTGGGTTTAGGTGCTTTGCACTTGAAATTTTTTTTCCTGCATAACGCCTCGGCGCTACATACCCGAGCGCCCTAGCGTTATGTTCTTGAGCACCCCAGTGCTGAATGACAGAGTAGAGAGCTGTAGTGGTATAGATATGACGTTGTAGCCAATCAAGGCAGAGATTCAAGCGCCGCAGTGCTCCAAACTAGTGTCGCAACGCTACGAGATGGACTTAACGGTTTTCTTTCTCGTTTTCTGAAGGGTTGCGTCCCTTGGGATTATTTACTTGACTTTCTCTTGTATTTTTGAGTGTGTGTTAGACATAGAGAGCAGTGTATGTGAGAACAAAAGTAAGGAAAGTGTGAGAGAGAAGAGATATTTGTACTTATTTCTCCCAATTTTCATTGTGGATTTCTTGGTGTGGTGCGACTCCGTGGTTTTTTCCCTATTTTGAATTTTCCGCGTTAAATTATGGTGTCCTTTATTTTCCCCTGCTTTTACTTTCTTGCTTGTTTCGCATTGTGGTGTTTACTCCTCATCCCCAACATTAATCCACTCTCTAAATTTGACCAAACGTGTTTTCTCTGCTGGATAATGTATTCTCCTATTGATGATGTTGTGGTGATGCAGTATATGCCCCTCCCAAATTCAGGATGCAGAGTTTAGATTTAATTTTTAAAGACTAGGACTAGGAAAAAATTACATCACATAGAAACCCCTTTCTCATTCACCCTGCACCACTTCCTCGCCACAGATCTTCCCCTATTGTGATCCCACAAGATACCGGCAATGCAAACCTTCACCATCTCTAAAACACCCAAATGATCTTACATGTTCCGCAAATTTCACACATCCATTTAGCTTTAATGATCTCATTATGAAATTGAAGCATTTTTTTAAACTTAGGCTACACAAGTGAGGATGCAATATTGGGTTGCTACTGGTCAGGTCTCACTCAAACTATGAACGAATATCATTAGCTTCCTATGGTTTGAACTAGATGTAGCTAGAGGATCAGTCATAACCAAACCAAACTTAATCAATTATTTATTTAGGTTCGGGGCATCACCCACTCCGAAACCTAAGACCTAAACCTTGCTTGGGATTAACATAATCTAAAAGAAAATAATATCATTATACTTTGAAAGATCCATATATGGTATAGTACAATTTAATACGCACATTAGGTGGCCATGTGGAAAAAGCTTAATTTTATTGCACAAAGTTATCCCAATTTACAAGATATCTTAATAAGTAATTATCCTAATATAATCCTTCCTAAATCAACCACCCAAATCTGGAAGGAGATTGGCATGATCCAGGTGAGCCTCCCACATATCCTCATGCTGGCCATGGGATCAAAGGCCAAGGGACGGCTGGGGTTTAACACTCCCTCTCAAGCTAAGAAATACAGATATATTATTCCCAGTTTAGTAATTAGTCTAAGAAAGATAGAGTTATTAAGTCCTTTGGTAAGACTGTCTGCAAGCTAATCTTTTGATGAGACTTGGTAAATACAGATAAGTCCACTAACTTATTTCTCCTTTATGAAATGCTTGTCCACTTCTATGTGCTTGGTTCTGTCATACTGAACTGGATTGTGAGCTATGATTGTTGATTTGTTATCACAATGTAGCTTCATGGGTCCTTTCCACTTGATCCTTAAGTTTTCTAGAATCATCTTGATTCATAATAGCTCACATATACCTAAGGCCATTGCTCTGAGTTATGCCTTTGCACTAGTTCTTGCAACCACATTCTTTTTCTCAGCTTTCCACTTTGCCAAGGATCTGAACTTTAACCTAGTCAAACTCCGCATTTAATCCTGCAAGAAAGTCATACCCTCTATCTTTCTCAATAAAACTTTTTAGGATAGTAGCATCTTCTATACATTTGTAGTGATCAAATTCTTGCCACAAGGCTTGAAGGAGAGTGGCTTATTTAGTCAAGGTCTTGCCTCCTTGTTTTGTATTGATGACATTGATCTTAACTTCGAAGACTTGAGCAGTATCTCGAGCTTTTGAAAAGGTTTGCTTAGCGGCATCGCATATGTCCTTTGCATTATATAAAAATATGAAAGTATCACTAATTTCAAAAGTTATGGAATTCCATAACGATGACATAATCATGGAGTCTACTTCATCCCATACCCCAAAATTAGGATTTCCTTCTTATGGTCCTACCCCAAGGAGGTGATTCATCTTTCCTTTCTTTTCCTTTTCAAGTAGATTTTCACAAATTGAGACAACATCAAGTAATTCTTCCCATTTAAGCATATAAAGGTTGCATATTTTGGATATCTCATTTTCCTTGTTACACCATAGAGTCCTCCATTTGATCAAAGTTTTAGGAAGAATTAGCTTCAGACATTGTGATGTCAAAGGGTAGTGATAAAGGCTATATCAATCAAGCCAAGAAGGTGCAGTGCAATAATGAAGGTTGCGTTGGCTATAAATAGGATAGCAAGGGATTAGGTGCACGATCTCTCCCTTGTCTCTCTCCTGGTCTCAAGGGAAGGCTAACAATGAATGCATGACAATAGAACAAAAAAAACTCGGAATTCCAGCAACAACGATGAAGGCTTTGATACCATGCTAAATGCAAAGAATTGGAGAGGAAAAATGCTTAGTTTTATTACACAAAGTTATCCATATTTATAGATTTATACAAAATATATTAATAAAGAAATAAATAATTATTGACTAATGCATAATTTCCCTAATATAAGCTTTCTAAATTAGCCACCCAAATATGGAAGGAGATTGGCATGATCCAGGTGAGCTCCTACGGATCCCCATGCTGGCCAAGGGATCAAGGGCCAAGGGATGGCAGAGATTTAACACTAGGGAAGGTAGTTTATGTTGGGAAGTAAACCACACAATGAAACAAACAAGAAAAGAAAACAATGGAAATGAACACCAGGATTGAACGTGGAAAAATCTGAAATTGGGAAAAAATACGGAGCCGCACTTCACCAAGAAATTTACTATAAAAATTTTAAGAAATTGTACAAATCTCTCTCTCACTCTCTCACTTTACTTCACTATGTTTCAAAATTAACAAAGAGATACACTTCTTCAATACGAAGGGACACGACCCTTCAAGCTAAATATGAAAAACGAGAAAGAAAATCGCCCAGACTGACTCGCGGCACTACAATGCTCTGCTCTCTGTTTCCAAGTCCAGGCTGCAGCGTCGCCATGCTACAAGCCTACAACCTAGGATGCTGAAATGCATGAGTGTACAACGCTGCAACGCTCTATTGTACAGTGTTGCGGCACTGTATGGCTGTATGGAAAAACAAATTTTATCGGACAAGTCCCCCAAACCCCAAGCAAGGGAAGGTTCCCTTGCAACGCCCCTCCAATCTCAATCAACGAAACTGTGGTATGAGTCAACAAAACAACCGGATTGATCGGTACAATGAGATTCCACATAGAACTAACATTTTAGGTTACTCTTTTTTTATTCCTAACCATTCCATGACAAACTCCTCCACTTTTATGGATCATCCCTGTTAACTTCTTTTGATGTTATTCTTTTAGAATAAATTACATGTAGTTTCCCAGTGTATAAGGGGCACTTAAAGTAGATCTTTGGATTTAAAATCCATCCATTTTCATTTGTCACATATAAGTTTCTTTCAAGAAGGTTCTTTAATAGTTCGTTAGGATTAAAATGTTTATAATGCCCATTTTTTTATTTTTTATTTGTTGAGATTCTTATGCTAGTGGCAAATAAGGAATTGAGAAAACAAGCCAATAGCAGCCAATGTACTAGAGGGAGAAAGAAGTCCGTGATAATATGAACAAATAGACCTCATGTTCAATTTCTCAAAGTCCAAAGAGAATCAAAGAAGAATGACCAAAGACTTGGCTTCATTCCTGTTACTCCCTTCAATATTCAGAAGAAATTCTTGTATATTCTTGCTAAATATGTCAAAGGTTGCTTAATTATGAAGTTAATTTAACATCTATATGCACTATATAGTGACACTTCAAAAATCAAACCCAAAAGACAAATTCATCGAGGGGTATATCAATCATGAGAAGTAGTGGCTTGGTTACTTTAGCAGTAAATATGTTTTCATAAGCAATCTTAGAAGCGCCAATGTTTCTTTTATCAATTTCCAGCATTTAAGCCAAAATCCAATAATATTTTTGGATGATTAATAAGATTGAATTGAATTATCCTCCCAGTTTAGATGTTTGTGCATCCAAGCTCCCTAGAGTGACTCATTAGCTCATAAAATGTAGATGATGTTTATGCTTCACACCATCGAGAGATCAATTAAACGCATATATTCCAAGTTGAATAGTATACTCTGATGTTAAATTATTGTTGTCTATTGTACTCTTGTAAGTGTTTTTTTATCACTTTAATTTTCTTGGTAAATATTAGATAGCACTAGAAGTCTAAACTAGCTCAACAAGTTGATCAGTTGCAATTGCCCATCAATTTTTGTTCTATGCTATGGAGCCAGAACAAGGACTTCAAAGTTTTTTTTT